TATTTTTCCACATTTGTGGGTTGTGTGTTTCGGGCACCCTGGTTCTGTAACACTTCGTTGAACTTCCCACGCTGTATTTGATAAAAACAAAAACAGAATAAATATCTCAAATGTATGAGAAACACGTTTTCTCTATGTCTCAGGTAAGGCTACCACATGCATTTCTCTCATCCTGTCAAGGGACTTAATTAAACATTCATGTGTAAATCCATGCATGAGTTGCTAGTCCAAGATCAAAAGAATTGAAAAAATCAAAAGAAATCAAATAAAGGGCAGAAGGGCAGGGAGCGTCCTCAAACAGCTGATGACGTCACATGTAGAAAAAAAAATTAGTTTGTTATGTATGATGTACTACTCAAAAGAAGTTCAGGACCACTCTATTCTTTCATATTACTGTAGATAATCTGCCATGCCATGACAGATTAACCATAGTTGGTTTTTTTAATAATTGCTGAGATTAACTATAGTAATATGAGAGAAGTGGGTGATCCTTAACTTTTTTTGAGTGATATACAATAACTTGTTTTAGTGCATCATTTGGAAAGATATCTTTCATCAATCTTTATCATGATTCTGCGAAGTTCAAACCCTGCTTGATGCTGCATTCACTGTCCGGCCAGGACCGCTTGCTGCAAACAGTTCTAGCTCTATAGTTCTTATGAAACTTCTACCTCTATTACATATCTGCCATAAATACTGTATTTGGGCTTCAATCACTCTTACTAAAATTTTCAGATGTTTATGTCCTAGTGAAACCGCTGGGCTTGTAGTCAGGTGCTTCAAATGTTACGAGGAAGTGGTCCATTGCTTGTCCCCTGTGTGAGGAACATTGGCCATTACAATCTTCACAATCATCATCAGTGACGTCAGTGTTGTGGGTTATCTCCCTTTAACAGTGTGGTTGCACCTTTCTTTAATTATTCTCTGCACATGACCATAATATTTTATTTGTGTTTTCATGGGCAATGTTTATGCTCACCAGGATTGAAGGTCCTAGTGAGCTTATAGCATGGCGCTTGTCCATCCATCCATCAATTTCTTCTTCTCTTGATCGAAAAGCAGAAATTTCAGTGTGTTTTCTATTATTTGTAGTAATAAAATCATATTGAGAAATGACATTTTTAAAGAATTGAGAGGTCAAGGAATTAGCTTTGTGTTTGTTTGTTTTTTTGTTGTTTAACGCCACAATCAGCAATATTCAGGCTATATGAGAGCGGTCTGTAATTAATCGAGTCTGGACCAGACAATCCAGTGATTGACATCATGCGCATCGACCCATGCAATTGGGACATGCATCAACCGATCCCGTTAGTCGCCTCATATGACAAGCATAGTCGCCTTTTAGGGCAAGCATGGGTTGGTGAAGACCTTTACTTGGAGATTATTCTATCCTTTCACATCAACCCAACCACATTACACAGCCCCACTTGCCTTACTTGCTGACTAGAGATCTCCTTTGACATAACATTCCGCTTACTCTGAATATACTGGGTGAGCAGCAGTACCTTGGCACTATTTTTAAATACTATGATTATTGGTGCTATACATGATGTCGTTTGTGTGTTGAATGTGTGTTCTCGTGTTAAATACAGTGGATGTATGCATGAAAAATATATCATATTCATGTATGTACAATATCCCAAATATTTTCAATGTAATTTCTTTATTAGCGTTTTAATTGGGTTTACTGTCTTAATATGATGGATAGAATATTATTAATGTTTTCTTATTATTTATAATGTGATTTTGAATTTTAAATCAAAGTTAGTTAGTATATGATGACTATATCCAGAGAAATAGGGCTAAAACAATTCTAAATGATCTCAGTTTTGTATAAGAGCATCAACGATATATCACAGATAATTCTACATAGAGTAGGGGGCACAGGTGGCCAAGTCATCTAAGGCGCTGCGATTCACTGTGCAGAGTTGTGTCCCTTGGACACGCAAGAAACCTATGATTGTGGGTTCGAATCCTGGTTCGCACCGATTATGTTTCTAGGTTTGTCAGCACCATACCCGTGCTCGTGGGTTTCACCGAAGTGGTAAACATCTGAGACCTTTCCTCTCGCATTAAGCTGACATGCCGCAATATAACTGGAATACTGTTAAATGCAGCGTTAAACCGAACTCACTCATTCACATAGAGTAATTCTACCTGAGTAGTTCTAAGTAGAGTAATTCTACAGACCTATACGGCATCATAACTACAATACAGAGAGTTGATCATTAATGAATACCATCAAACCCTTCCCAAACATTCAAAGCTGAGGGTGGCCAAGCCATCTAAGGCACTGTAATTCTCTGTGCAGAGTTGCATCCCTTGGGCACACCAGGAAATTATGATCGTGGGTTCAAATCTCGGTTTGCTGTGATTATGTTTCAAGGTTTGTCAGCACCATACCCACGCTTGTGGGTGTCACTTTAGTGGTAAATGTCAGACCTGCATCACTTCTGGCACATTACGATGACACGCCTTGATATAACTTAAAAACTGTTCAAAGGGGTGTTAAAACCAACTCACTCACTCACTCACTCACTCACTCGTCTTCAGCAACCCATGCTTACCATAAAAGGTGACTATGCTTGTCATGAGAGACGACTAATGGGATCGGGTGGTCAGGCTTGCTGATTTGGTTGATGCATGTCATCGTATCCCAATCACTGGATTGTCTGGTACGCCTTAATATAGCGGGATTATGGCCGAGTGGGGCGTTAAACAACAAAACAAAAGAAACACTCTCATTCACTCACACACACACTCACACACACACTCACTCACTCACTCACTCACTCACTCACTCACTCACTCACTCACTCACTCACTCACTCACATACATATAACTGGAATACTGTTCCATGCACTATTCAATCCAACTCACTCACTCAGTAAGTCATTCACGCCATGATATAACTGGAATACTGTTCAAAGTGGCGTTAAACCCAACTCCCTCACTCACCAACGAACTCACCCAAATCTGAAAATGGAAGCTGAAAGATTGCTACTGCAGTGTTCTGCTATCAGCCTCACAGCAAGACTTAGGACACAATAAATCCACCTTTGTGCAGCAATTGCACACATTGTGGCCAATAAGAAACAGTTACTATAACCACGGCACTCCACAACAGCATGAATGAAGCCTTTTAGAAGAGACCACCTCCATTGTCTAGTGGTAGAGCGTCCGCCTGGAGAGCGGAAGGTCCGGGGTTCGATCCCCGGCCGCGTCATACCAAAAGACGTTAAAAGATGGTACTTGTTGTTACCCTGTCTGGCGCTCAGCATTAAAGGGCTAAAACAAGGACTGGTCAGCTCGGAGTCAGTATACTGTGTCTGAGTGGGGTATTCATGTTAAACTGCGGCATGGTATCTCAATGAGCTAGCACTATAAATCGGCATCAGTCCGGACTAGTAGAAGCAGCCACACAAACACACACACACATGTACATGCACGTCGCTATATAAGTGCAATATTCTTGGACGCAACGTTAAACCCCATTTCACCTCACCTCACCTTTAAGAAGAGACTGCTGGAGTAATTGATATTTTGGGTGGTCAATTGCAAATCATTTAGGAACTTTAGGAGCAACTTGAACTATTACCATTTGTCTTGCGCTTCATGAACATATTTCTTCAACAAACACTCAATAAACTTCCCCTCTCTGTGACTTGAATTAAATAGCAGATTTGGATGAATTTATGTGAGTTAAGAAGAAGACCAAGCATTCCGTTGATTAGATTGTTCCACCAAAAAGCCATAATTTCTCTCAACATTAGTTTTAAGAAAGTTAAACTGCTTTTTATTCAAGAATTGATAACTGAAAGGAGTTTTTTCTTCTCATTCTTTTTGGGAGATGGAGTAAAACCAGAGATTAACTCCTTTGCTATGTGCATGTTACACAAATATATTTTATTTAGTGTCTACTGAGCAATATTATCACTTAAGAGACGACATTAATTCTTTGTTGATACGGGGTGGGCATTAAGAAAATCAGTAAGTGTGAGTTGAAATGATGGTGTTAAATTTGGCAAGTATGTAACTTGAGTAGATCATGAAAAATGTTTGTTTGTCATTGTATATATTGATTCTTTGCCTGCCCAGGATATTATCTGTCTGGATGTTCAGTTCACTTTTCGTTCTGAATTCTCAGCAGTGTTTGTCTACTGGTATGTTACCTTTTGAAAATCTCTACGTTTGGTCATTGTCTTTGTGAGGAGGTTGAAATGTTTATGACAGCTTGCAGGCTATCTCTGATCAAGAGACCTGTGAAGAACCCGGGTAGAATAGGTCTTCAGCAACCCATACTTGCTGTAAAAGGCGACTATGCTTGTCGTAAATGGCGACTAACGGGATCGGGTGGTCAGGCTCGCTGACTTGGTTGATGCATGTCATCGATCCCAATGGCGTGGATCGATGATCATGATATTAATCACTGGATTGTCTGGTCCAGAATCGATTATTTACAGACCGCCGTCATATAGCTGGAATATTGCTGAGCGCGGCGTTAAACAGCCAGCCTACCAAATTGGATCAAGAATCTGTTTACTTATGGAAATGAACAGTGCTGAGTTTACTACAGAATTCTGGTGTCTGAAAGTGTGTGATCATTCTGTCAGAGCACAGAGCAAGGAGCTTGAAGGCATACATGACCCTGTGTGGAGTCTTGCAGATTCAGTCCTCAGCACTGCATCTTGTGTAAGAGCTGACTCAGATATGGAGTGTAGTTTCAGTGACCTGGCTGACTTTGTCTTCATGTTCCGACCACATTGATTATTGTTCATGCAGTCGACCACTGGTTTGCCTGGCTCAGACAATATATTGTCCGGCCACACTGGTGTAGCTGAATACTGTTGAACTGGTGCGTAAAACAACATTCACTCACTCGGTGACAGTTAAACCCAGCACTGCAGTGTAGAGATATTTTTGAGAGAATGTGTTGTATTTTCGTTGTCTTGTAGAAGCGCCCTGTATGGTGAGTGAGCTTGTGTGTTGTGTGTTGCAGGCGATCCTGCAGGACATGGAAACCCGCAGGGCCCAGCTGGACAGTGTCCTGAGTACCGCTGACCAGCTGCAGAGGCAGACCAACAGCGAGAACGACCGCCAGATGCTCCGAGAGAGAGGTAGGTTCTGGTATAAAAGGGGATCAGGTGGGCAGGCTGGGGAACTTGTCTGATCTGGTGGCCAGGCTTGCAGTTGTGACTTGGCGTGGTCAGGCTTGGTGGCAGGGCTGATTGGGTGGTCAGGCTCAGTGTCATCGCTCTCACTCACTCACTCACTCACTCACTCACTCACTCACTCACTCACTCACTCACTCATGCTTTCAGCCATACTTACGGTTACAGCATTAAGACACCTGACAGTTACAGGGTGACAGCATTAAGACAACTGACAGTTACAGGGTGACAGCATTAAGACACCTGACAGTTACAGGGTGACAACATTAAGACACCTGACAGTTACAGGGTTACAGCATTAAGACACCTGACAGTTACAGGGTGACAGCATTAAGACACCTGACAGTTACAGGGTGACAGCATTAAGACACCTGACAGTTACATCATTAAGACACCTGACAGTTACAGGGTGACAGCATTAAGACACCTGACAGTTACAGAGTTACAGCATTAAGACACCAGACAGTTACAGTGTTACAGCATTAAGACACCTGACAGTTACAGGGTGACAGCATTAAGACACCTGACAGTTACAGGGTGACAGCATTAAGACACCTGACAGTTACAGTGTTACAGCCTTAAGACACCTGACAGTTACAGGGTGACAGCATTAAGACACCTGACAGTTACAGGGTGACAGCATTAAGACACCTGACAGTTACAGGGTTACAGCATTTAGACACCTGACAGTTACAGGGTTACAGCATTAAGACACCTGACAGTTACAGGGTTACAGCATTAAGACACCTGACAGTTACAGGGTTACAGCATTAAGACACCTGACAGTTACAGGGTTACAGCATTAAGACACCTGACAGTTACAGCATTAAGACACCTGACAGTTACAGGATTACAGCAGTATAAGAACCTGATAGTTGGAGGGTAAATGTTCTAGCATGGCAGTGACAGTGACAGTTAAAAGGTTACAGTAGTGTAAGCACCTGACAGTTACAGGGTTACAGCAGTATAAGAACCTGATAGTTGGAGGGTAAATGTTCTAGCATGACAGTGACAGTGACAGTTAAAAGGTTACAGTAGTTTAAGCACCTGACAGTTAAAGGGTTACAGTTCCAGCATGGCATCAGAGGTAACGCACTGGTCCCCGGCACTGCTTTGTCTACACAAACGTTTTCCTACATTTAGAAACGGTTAAAGCTGTCAAGGATTTCTACACATAATTGGGGCTGGAGGGTGGAATTTTGAGTGCCTCTAAATTGAGGCCATTTTCGTTAAAATGATGCATTCAAAGATGCAGGAGTAGGGGGAAAAATGTGGTTTCATGATGCGAAAAATATTGCAACAGGAACTATGCAGTTTAGAGAATAATTGGTGCAGTCATTTTCCATAATCATTTGCTGGGATAGTGAGATAGAACTGGTGGCACATTTTAAAAATTGCTACAAATTGAGGTTCCTAAACCACGGGATGATTGCTTCTTGTCTGGTCTGAAGTAACTCTGTTCACAGATTAAGTGTGCATTTTCTCCTTGTAACATTTTCAGAAAATTTAATTTTTGGTGATTTTTTGTCAGTATGATTAATAATATGTTCCACAGCAATAGGAATTGGCAAGATATTTAAGTTATTTTTCATTGACTTTTCTTTAGAATATATAAGAACTTTTTGCTACTCTACAAATCTAGCTACGATTTCGATATGAGCAATGAAGAAAATTTAAGTGTTTTGAGTGTCAGTTTGTAACAGAACTCAAATCACGTCTGTAAGATTAAAAGACAATAAGTTAATAACAAACATCAAGAAGAAATCTTCTGAAAAACATGCTTCAGTTCTTGTTCTGTTGGAGGGCAGTAGCATGGCCCAGCTGGTAAAGCGTTTGCTCATCACTTCAAGGACAAGGGTTCTAATCCCCATATGGTGAATGTTACATCAGAGTCAGAAATATCACGTCAGTCAGTAAATAATCCCAGCAACCCAGAATCAGACACACACTTTGACCAACCAATCCTCATTTGTGGGCCCTTACACCAAGCATGGGGTGCAGGGGACCAATCTGCCCCCAAATCCTCATGGGGAGACAAGAATGGGATGCAGGGGACCCGTTCTGCCCCGAAATCCTCATGGAAAGACAAGAATGGGGTGCAGGGGGCCCGTTCTGCCCCGAAATCCTCAAGGTTGGTTGGTTGGTTTGTTGTTTAACGCCGCACTCAGCAATGTTCCAGCTATTTGACGGCGGTCTGTAAATAATCGCGTCTGGACCAGACAATCCAGTGATTAATATCATGAGCATCGATCCACGCAAATGGGATCGATGACATGCATCAACCAAGTCAGCGAGCCTGACCACCCGATCCCATTAGTCGCCTTTTACGTCAAACATAGTCACCTTTTACGGCAAGCATGGGTTGCTGAAGACCTATTCTACCCAGGAATCTTCACGGGTCGAAATCCTCATGTAAAGATAAGAATGTGGTGCAGGGGACCTATTCTGCCCCGAAATCCTCATGGGGAGACAAGAATGGGGTGCAGGGGACCCATTCTGCCTCATCCTTACGGGAGTCATATATTCAAAAACTGACATTCAGCATTATTCTCAAGCTGATGTATGTGATATAACCACACTGCCAACCACACTGCTGTCCCTACAGCACCAGCAAAGGTCACAAACATTCACTCAGCCCATACTCTAATTATTTTATGGAATGTCAAAACTATAACCTGTCAGCATTACGGTTACCGCATTTTCATCGATGACAAAAAACGTCCTGAATGTACAACCTTGCATCTCCTTTGTCAGCTAATCCCTAAAGAACATGTCATAATCTGTGATTATGTTCAATGCCTTAGATGGCTGTTATCGCTGCTGGTTATCGCTGACCTTTGCTTTGAAATTAACACTGATCTGGATGTGTTGTTTGTTTAAAAAACATAGCTTGCCCCAGGATGCTAATTACTGGAAACTTTCTTCATGGATTTCAGATGTCAGCTCAAACAATGTCCTGTTGTTTTGAATGGTCAGCTTATCAGGTATTGAGTGAGCACAATAGTCTTTATCTTTGAAAGGTCAGTGATTTCATGTCAGGTGTCTTTGATGGAGTTCGTGGACCTCAGCAATGATAAAATTCTTTCAGCATTTGGGTGGATCTCAGTATCAAGATTTTATTGATGTCAGGGTTTCTTCTGTTAAGAATTCTCATTTAGGAATGGGTTTAGTTTTGTGAATTAGTGATGTTGAGCTTTGATGCATTTTGTGTCATTTAGAAACTGGTTTAGTTTCATGAATTAGCGATGTTGAGCTTTGACGCATTTTGTGTCATTTAGAAACGGGTTTGTTTTGTGAATTAGCGATGTTGAGCTTTGATGCATATTGTGTCATTTAGAAATTGGTTTAGTTTTGTGAATTAGTGATGTTGAGCTTTGATGCATATTGTGTCATTTAGAAATGGGGTTAGTTTCATGAATTAGCGATGTTCAGCTTTGATGCATTTTGTTTCATTTAGAAACGGGTTTGTTTTGTGAATTAGCGATGTTGAGCTTTGATGCATATTGTGTCATTTAGAAACGGGTTTGTTTTGTGAATTAGCGATGTTGAGCGTGGATGGATATTTATCCATACAAACCTCAATAGGTATATCGATCTTTTGCTGTTCAAGATGTTTCAATATAATGGGTACAGGGTTTCACAAAAGTAGGATTGTGATATGGTGCATTATCTTCACCTTGAAGACTTTCTCATAAGAATCCATGATGTCAGCTCAAATTGAGTTAATTCCTTCTACAGAAGATATCGTATAACCTACACAGAATAACCAGTTTTAGAAATCATTAACCTTGTGAGGTATTTAGGATGGTCTATTTAAGTTGTTGATTTAGTTCAGTAGTTTAAAGCTGACAGCTCCTGTGTAATGTGGTGATTACCTGTCTGGATAGCAAGCTGAACAGTTTGAGGATGCACCAGCATTGGTGGTCGTTGTTAGTTGGGAGAGGGTTGGAAGATTATCTGTGTGGGCCATTACAAAGTTTGTGGTATTTGTCTTACAACAGTGGTAGTGATGCGATCACTTTGTTGGCAGATGTGTGTCAGGCACTTTGTGTGAACATAAATTCCCTGTAGTATGAAATGAGAGGGAAGCATTATAGTCCAGTGGTTCAAGTTGGTTTTGGTTGGTTTGTTGTTTTACGCCACACTCAGCAATATTCCAGCTATATGACGGCGGTCTGTAAATAATCGAGTCTGGACCAGACAATCCAGTGATTAATATCATGAGCATCGATCCACGCAATTGGGATGGATGACATGCATCAACCAAGTCAGCGAGTCTGACCGTCCGATCCCGTTAGTCTCCTTTTACGTCAAGCATAGTCGGGTTTTTCATCACACCAATGACTCAGTTTGATTCTGGACATTGTAATAATGTCTAAAGCATATTATTTTACCATCACTGTCATATGACTGAATAGGGCTTAGATGTGAAACTTGAAAAGCTGCCAAAGTTCAGACGCCATTTTCTTTTACTGTGGACCAAGGGACATAACTCTGTGAGGAGCTGTTTCCCTTGGCCATGCCAGTGTCCAATGCTCCTTGGGATCAGATTCAAGATTTGCTGCTTCTTTTGTCAAAGTGTTCAGAAACTGTAACATTTCAGGCTTTCCACTGTAATATTCCTGGAATACTGTTCAAAGCAGAGTTACATCCAAGTCATGCACACACTCAATACACTATGGGGATACGAGTTAAAATTGGTCTCCAGCAATCAATGCTGGTCGTAAGAGGCTACTTAATAGATTGGGTGGCTAGACTCAGTGACCTGCTTGACTGTGTGTCATTGTTCCCTGATGGCGTGGATTGTTGCTCACAATATCAGTCACTGGTTTGTCTGGTTCAAACTTGATTATTTACTGGAATTGCTGAGTGCAACAAACGCACGCACGCACGCACGCACGCACGCACGCACGCACGCACGCACGCACGCACACACCCACACACGCACACACACACACACACACACACACACACACTCAAAAGCCATTTTAGCCTTTTACAAAAAAAACTTGGTTGTGAAATAGTCCCCTCTGGAATTTCTCCAGTGACCAGGGGCGGTCGGGTAGCCTGGTGGTTAAAGCGTTCGCTCGTCACACTGAAAACCCGGGGTTCGATTCCCGACATGGGTACAATGTGTGAAGCCCATTTCTGGTGTCCCCCGCCGTGATATTGCTGGAATATTGCTAAAAGCGGCGTAAAATCAAACTCACTCACTCACTCTCCAGTGACCATCCATCTACACCCAAGTCCTAATTACTCTGAGTCTGCTTTAGAGATTAAAAGGCAACACTTTCCTACCATGTGATTTTCACAGCTGTCACACTTGTTGACATATTATCTTGAAACAATGACAAGCTTTCAGTGAACCTGGTGACAAACTCCTCTTTTTGATGAAATGATGTATGATGATGGTGATAGCCATCAATGTAATGCCATGATTGGTGGTCTGCATCCGCGAAGCAACCAGAAATTGATTATATTTTAAACTGACATGGCTTCCGTCAGTGGAAAAAAGAAAAAAAAGTTTAAAAAATTATAAATCTATGAATTGGAGAGGGAAATTACAAAGTAGACTTAAGATCAATTTGAAATATTTAAATCAATGCCATAATTATTTTGTTTGAAATGTGCTTCATGATTATGACATGGCTTCTGTGAATGGAAAAAATAATCAAGTTAAAAAAATTATGAATCTTTGAATTGGAGAGGAAAATTAGAAAATAATTTTAAAATCAATTTGAAAGATTTAAATCAATGCCAGAATTATTGTGTTTGAAATGTGCTTCATGATTATGATTTTGTTTAAAATTGTTCCATGTTATTTCTATATTTGACAGCTAAGAAACTCCGTGAGCACTGGGACGAGGCCTTCCGGAATGTCAATAGACGTAAGAACCTGCTCGATGATATGCTCTTGGAGTGCAGACAGTTTGACGAGCTGTATGCCGAGTTTGAACGATGGCTGTCACAGATCGAGGAGGAGCTGGATGCTCGTCCAATCAGACCCCAGTCTCCGAACGATGTTGACAGACTTCTGAAGGAGCACAAGGTAGCAAAGTTTATGAATTTGTCTATCTTGTTTATATGTAGAAAGTAAATCCTTTTAAATACTGCATAAAAATCTAATATTCTTTGATTCCACATTAAATAGTAATTGTTATCCACATTCCAAATTTGAAAACACAACAATAATTCAATTCATATAATCAGTGTCAATAAATCAATTTATATAAAAAAACTAATTTTTGTATATTCCACATTTCAAACTTTTGCATGCATTCACATTTTTTATCAAAGAATTCTGTATTAATATTTCATGTCAAGTGTTGAAAATTTGAAGAAAAAAATCAATTCAATTTAAATAACATATTAAATGTAATATTCATTTGTTCTCAGTATCCTTTGTTAACTGTTTACATTTATAACTGTTGACTACATTTCCAAGTGAGCTACAGTGCCATGGCACTTTTTTTGGAATGATGTTCTAAATCTTTCAAATCCTCAGGTATTGGTTGTTTTCTGCAAGAACGAATATTGCGTACAAATCTTGTAAGCAATTGTGCAGCTTATTAATGATTGTCAGCGTAAAGATTTGATTGTCAGGAATGTCAGAAGGTGATAACGCAGTTGTAATAGTTTTCCTCTGCCTCTGACATGATGACAGTAGAAGCCGGTGTATCAATTATTCAGGGCCAGTTTCAAGATTACTGTTTCATGGCTTACAGAAGCTGCAGGAAGAGGTGAACCAGCGACAGGATACTGTCGACAATCTCAAACGATTGGCGGAAAAATTAATCGACGACTACAATCAAGATGACACAAGACAGGTTCGTCTTCAGTTGGAGAGACTGACCAATCGATGGTCTACACTCTTAAACAGGTAAATGTTATCTATTATTACAATATGAACATAGTTTTTGCATATTTATGAGATTCATGTTTCATATTTGATGTTTTTTTACATTTTATCGGTAGGCAAGTTATTATTGATGTTTTCTTTGTCATGCCCCCGAAGATACCACAACCTCAAAGTGTGTGAGTGAGTTGGGTTCAACACCACTTTGAAAGTATTCCCTGCCAAGGATCATGATACAGTCAAATTTGGGATTTAACCCAAACCAGCAGATCCTGGCACTGCTAAGGGAGACAACCCCTATTTCTGTTCATGACAGACCTATGTCAGTGAATGAGAAAGGCTCATGCTGTGTTTAGCCCTCACACTTCTTTTGTTGAAATGTTGAAATGTTGAAATGCAAAGTGAAAAGTACTCAAGTGTAGTTTTACCAATTTCAACTTAGGTCTCAGTCCTTGCACCTTCCACAAGACTGAAGATCTTGTCAGAGCTAAGGTCACAGTCATGTCTTGAACTGTGGTAAACACTTTTAGGATCAAACGAATTAGTGAATGAATTGGCCTGTATAATGCCAAACAAATTTCCTGAGGGATGACAAAATGAAATGTGTGCAGAATGTTACTGACAGCAGCCCAAAACTCGCTGCCTCATGAAGTCCAACGTGGGAGTTGGTTCACCTGACTTTCCTCTTCATTACATTGTCCCAGGAATGATTGGCGTTGTCAAAAGTTTAATTTCAAGGTTGTCTGGTTACATTTGAATCCGTTCAAGACTAGGATTGTTTCATCAGGAAACTTCTTCAGAAGTTTGGAAAGTTATGACAATGGGTTATGATCTGTCAGATTTCTCTTTGTACTTTGTATAGTTCTTTTGCAGGATGGGTTGATGGTCAAGAAATGTTGGATCTGTAGTTTCATTATTGTTTCAGTATGCATGGATGCATTCTGTTGTGGTGCCACCTCTTTCCTGCAATGCCATTGTCAGCAGACGGTTAATATATATATTGGTTAATCTTGGCAGATGGAAAGCTGCATGGATTGATCATGTCTCACTGTATGGTAATATATTGAATATTGCCTAGATGAGTAATTACAATCTTCTTGTTGCATCCAACAAGTGTGCAGCTGATTTCGGACTAGTGGTTTATGTAAAATAACTAATTGAGGAAGAAAACAACTAGTTCCTCTGGATGTTCACTAGTCTCAGATGAACGGACGTGTCTAACCCCGATTTAATTGTAAATTCTGCTGAGACTGTTGTTTCAATCACTTGTCATGGAGACCGCCTTTGTGGTCTAGTGGTAGAGCGTCCGCACGGAGAGCGGAAGGTCCGTGGTTCGACCCACCACCGTGTCATACAAAAAGACGTTAAAAGATGGTACTTGTTGTTACCCTGTCTGGCGCTCGGCATTAAGGGGCTAAAACAAGGACTGGTCGGCTCGGAGTCAGTATACTGTGTCTGAGTGGGGTATTCATGTTAAACTGCGGCATGGTATGTCAGTGAGCTAGCACTATAAATCGGCATCAGTCCGGACTAGTACAAGCAGCCACACAAACACACACACGTACCTGCATGTCGCTATATAAGTGCAATAATCTTGGACGCGACGTTAAACCCCATTTCACCTCACCTTCTATTAGAATTCGGCAATCCAGTGATAACATGGCTGGAGTATTGATGCTAGAGTCAAACCATGGCTGGAGTATTGGTGCTAGAGTCACACCATGGCTGGAGTATTGGTGCTAGAGTCACACCATGGCTGGAGTATTGGTGCTAGAGTCACACCATGGCTGGAGTATTGGTGCTAGAGTCACACCATTCCTTGAGTATTGGTACTAGAGCCTCACCATGGCAGGAGTATTGGTGCTAGAGTCACACCATGGCTGGAGTATTGGTGCTAGAGTCTCACCATGGCTGGAGTATTGATGCTAGAGTCACACCATGGCTGGAGTATTGGTGCTAGAGTCTCACCATGGCTGGAGTATTGGTGCTAGAGTCACACCATGGCTGGAGTATTGGTGCTAGAGTCACATCATGGCTGGAGTATTGGTGCTAGAGTCACACCATGGCTGGAGTATTGGTGCTAGAGTCACACCATGGCTGGAGTATTGGTGCTAGAGTCACACCATGGCTGGAGTATTGGTGCTAGAGTCTCACCATGGCTGGAGTATTGGTGCTAGAGTCACATCATGGCTGGAGTATTGGTGCTAGAGTCACACCATGGCTGGAGTATTGGTGCTAGAGTCACACCATGGCTGGAGTATTGATGCTAGAGTCACACCATGGCTGGAGTATTGGTACTAGAGTCACACCATGGCTGGAGTATTGGTGCTAGAGTCACACCACTGCTGGAGTATTGGTGCTAGAGTCACACCATGGCTGGAGTATTGGTACTAGAGTCACACCATGCAGGAGTATTGGTGCTAGAGTATTGGCTCATGCAGTGTTACAATGCACTGACTCACCAGCTGTAAAGAGGCCACATATCCTTTCATTAATGTGTGATGGAGTGGAAGGAGATGAATGAAGGGCAGCAGCACCACACAAGTCCATTATGGTTTAACATTATCTCTCACTGAATCCTAAATCAGATGAATTTCAAAACATCACATTTGTGAAGCAGGATGATCAGGTTTAAAAGGTTGCCGAGATTTTTTTCACAAACGTTGCCATGAAGGTGAGATATTATCCAGTGTGTTGAGTTCCCTGTGTTCAGTCTGTTGTGGCAAGTTGTCTTTGATAGGCTGTTTTTGTAGGATATTGAAGTTGATTGGATTTCACAGATTGCAGAGTTTGTTTCGCAGTTGTGTAGGCTCACTGACGGACACTTTCCAATCTATTCATTAATATTTCAACAGGTAAGGAGAGGGGTTGTGAGCGAGGCAACACAGGATGATTCTGGCCACCTGCATCACTGGGATATGGGGAACTTGTTTTTTTAACTACATTGTGCTTGTACAAGTTATTGTCAACAAAACCATCAAAATAAACATCATCAGTATCATCATTAGTATCATCATCACACCATTGGTGGTGGTAGTGGTTAGGCCTGTGTATTGACCTGGATTTTGTATTGCAATATATTGCCATACTCTAACCTGTATTGCAATACGTATTGCAATATATTGCCAATTTACCTTTTCATGAGTTAATCAGAGTTATACCCTGTATTAATGAGTGAGTGAGTGAGTGAGTATGGTTTTACGCCGCTTTTAGCAATATTCCAGCAATATCACGGCGGGGGACACCAGAATGGGCTTCACACATTGTACCCATGTCGGGAATCGAACCCGGGTCTTCGGCGTAACGAGCGAACGCTTTAACCACTAGGCTACCCGACCGCCCCCCCTGTATTAATGTCAGATACCATCAGTCAGTGTCCCTTATTTGGGACGATGTCAAAATCATCTGCCATTTTGTATCCCAGCAACGATCAAGGGAGATAATACGGTCACATGGTAGCGCAAGCTCCATCCCAACACGTGACACCTTTGTTATACTCTTGGTATACAGAGCTAACCGAACGGGCTATTGCTGTGAGGAGCTTGATAGTCGCGATGTGTACACGCTAATTGATAAAAAGATTGTCGGAGGCAAGTTGTATCAGAAAGATACTATTTTCCATCTCCATATCGATTAGGAACACATAAATATACTTATTTATATTTGCCCTAATATATTGCTACATTTACATTTTAATGTATCGCAATACGTATTGCTGAAGATTTGCACCACAATATACCGGTGTACCGGTAATACCGCACACCCTTGGTGGTGGTGGAGGTGGTGGAATAGGATTTTCTTGGGCAGAACAGTTGAAAATTGTTAATGCCTTGGCATCATTATTTGTACAGAAATAGAAGCGGTAAGGTAGTCGTGGTTACAAGCTATGGAACACCCAGGTTTGATTCTGCAAATGGGCACAATGTGTGACACCCATTGCCCCTGCCCCTTGCCATGTTTTAACTGGAATATCAGTTGAGATTCGTAAAACCATACTCACTATGTGATATTACATTGTGTCAAACCAAATATAATCTTAGCAGATTTATTCCCCGCTATTGATGTAGACAAGTCTCCGGCCAGTTTAATTCCCAGTACCAACAAACATTATATGAAAACATATTTGAAATATGGTTTAGCAATACCCACATGAATAAACACAATGTTTAGTAATAAACTTGATGTATACTACTCAAGAGACGTTTAGAAACACCCCATATTTTCCATACGACTATAGTTAATCTGGCATGACTGGCTGGAACACACACCGCCTTCCAATTGTGGATGTTCTTTAACTTGTTTTGAGTAGTATATTTCTTGTGAGAGTTAGTGAGTGAATATTGTTAACGCCGCCTCAGCAGTTTTGCAGCTATTCGTGGCGTTTCTTGTAAGACACACTCACCTCAGTGATGAGTATCTAGCATACCATGGTGGTCTTCATTCACCAGTGACATATGCAATCTAAACCACTAGCCACAACAAGCACTTGCTGAGTCCCTGGGCATGGAAACATTGTGCAACATTCTCCAGGGTCAGCTGTAATAACATGCGACATGCCACGCACGTGCGGAAGGTCAACACGACCCCACATGCATGTACATCCAAGCGAGGTAGGTTGAAGGTAGACTGTCTCCCAGACCCTAGAAAATAAATTAAAAAAGGAGTCCAACTCAAGACTAGAATGATTGGTCAAGTCTAGATTGCCTCAACTCCATGAAATGAAAAAATAAAATTAAGAATTGTCCTTGCCTCCTTTTGGATTTGATTAAATTTTTATGTAAATATATTTTTGAATAAGATAATTTTGTTTCTGGGACTAGATGTCAGTCTAGGTTCAAGGCAGCCCTGGCAGAAATGTCATATGTAGTGTTTGGTGTTCCAAGGCTGAACAGAGGGAGTATGTTTTCCTATGATGTTCATGGATCTACTCTACGGTATCTTAGATCTGTATACTTCTTGGTGAATTAGCTTCATGGGACCCTCGTTCTATACTTTTCATTATTATAATGAGTGAACAGAATGGT